GCCGTTTAATGTGCTCTTCAAACGTTAGATCTGAAAATCCGGCCCTACATTCATACTTATCTTATTTTGGGTATTTTTTCTCTAATCAATGTAATGACCTCCGTAAAGACAATTGCCTGTTGAAGGCTCCATTCTTGTTAATTTTAAGCATTTGCTATCAAATAGGCCCAACTGCCATCTCTGGCTATCAGAGTTAATATGTTTGTGTGATCAGTTTGTGGTTTGTTTGAACTTTTCTTTCCTTCCGGCTGATCCAGAAGCAAGCGAAATACGCACCGTATTCTTCATCGGAGCCTGGAGACCAATGCCTCAGGTTACGACCTCACTACTGAGCGTGCGCCGATTAGGGTTGTGCCAAAAACGACTATCGTTTAAGGTAAAAAAACGTTGGGACAACTCTACATACTTGGGTCCCCCTTACTCACTTTTAGGTGTTTCAGAATTCCAGGAATATCGGAAATTCCTGCATTCACTTAAATTATCCAACACATCCTTGTTGAAAGTAAAGTTATAAGCATAGGCAATAATTTCCATATTCGATCAATCCTATTCATCTAGGAACTTTTAAAGAGAAAATATGTATTATAGGGTGCCAAGAATTTGCCACATACTCTAGAATTATTCTGTTATTTTTTATCTGCCATTTAAAATCAGCTATCTTCGAAATGTGGGCACTTACACATAAACAAGATAATTTGCTAGATATAAAATACCTCGGTATGTTTTGAAATTATCCTTTCTTCTTGAATATTAAATTAGTCATCTCATGTAGTCTACGGTAATTGGAGGTGGAGATTTTTAATATTCCGTATTCAAGAACTACTTTTATTTTTAAGGCATACTCAACCCGAATATGAGTAATGTCTTATTATATAGTAGAAAATTCATGTATTGTTCTCTAACAATCTCGCTATACATGGACTTTGGGATGTCTCTCGCTTGCCTTCAAGGTCACGTATGCCATGAGACCCACTGGAACCCGTGAACTTACTGTTGTTAGTTTATTTATTTCGCAAAGTTTTTACTTTTACTTATTCAAACACTAGTTGGTAGAGGTTAACCACAATGATATATTCTACCTAGGCAATACATTTAGCGGTCGCACTCCTCCAATCGGCGGAAATAAATTCTAGTCTGCTATAACTTTATCCTGGTTTTTGAAGTTATTCAAATATGAATAGTAATTTCTGCCTATTTCTCATTATGCCATCCGTATTTGCAATTTATAGCAGAAATAGTTAATCTTTGTATGTACTCCTGATAACTACTTGCTCTAGCCCTAAATCGCATTAGCCTATAGCTTATCCTACCTCCGATTTCGCTAGAATAATCCAAAATCTAACAAGGGCATCAGCAAATGCGCCTCTCTTTCAAATTAATTTGTATCGTGTGATCATAAGTTTTCGTGTTTCTTAGCCTCACTTTTGAAAAAATTACCCATTTATTACGCCGTCTACAAATAGCTCGTCCTTGTACTAAGGCGTTATTTTGCTACCAAGCCTTGTTAGAACATTTACGAGCCTGATCCCTAAAATTATAGTCGAACATCTGGCAAGTGAACCTCCTTGAAACGCAATAAGCTGACCTGCCTTTGTGGAGGAAGTGCTATTAGTGGATGCATCAGCATTGCCGAATTATCCAAAGGTGAAATAGTTTTGTAGATTCTAACACTAGCATTTTTTAAATAGCAAAAGTGCCTTTGATATTCTTTGAAACTCGATTGGAAGCAGGCCATATGTATATCTTCCAACGATGATAATAGACTTCAACTGATTACAACCTTCGAACAAACGTTAAGGGGGAAATTAATGCAGCCAGAGCGAGTCCATATAACCAACTAATAAATGGACATAAAAAGCAGGCTGTGAGCTGTTCTTAACTACAAACAAACAACTTTTATGGAGAGTACAATTCTTATTCTTATCTTAACGTCTCCGTATCGCATTAATTTGTATTAAGCCACGCTGAAGGTACAGTTCTTATTAAAAATCTATTGTTAATATCGAAACTTACTTAATATGAATATAAAATTCAACAGTGTCCTTATTGAGATAACCTCATTTATCATTATCTCTAAAAATGAAAAGAAATTTATTGAACATGCCATTTGCCTTCATTTATGAAGAGCAACAGGGTTTCGATGAATCTCCTGAGATAACATTATTGCTGGGAGATCGACCTTAGAATATCTTCTTTATACACTTTCCACAAAATGAAGGTCCCAGCAATATTACCTTCATTTATCATCACCCACCTGAAGGCTTCTTCAGTCGGGCTGTACTGTACTTTTTATCTTGTTTGGATTCTATATAAATCAATTAAGAAATCCGGGACCAAGTTAAGTGCTATATTAGACCCTTGGTGATGGCATACCAGGAAGTAGCTGCAATTATTTCCAATAAAGGAGTCACAGTTACCGAATTGAAAGTGGTTATCTGATTGGAACTACAGGTGGTCTTCAATCTATAAATAAACACATAATTGATTAAATAAACCATTAAGAAAAGCTGGCTAAAGTTCACATGAACAAGCAAATTTGGATTAGGATACACTTTTGTCCTAGTCAATAGTATACAGTTTAAGTCATT